GAGAGAGAGAGAGAGAGAGAGAGAGAGAGAGAGAGAGTGCGAGAAAGAGAGAGAGAGATGTGCGTTATAGACAAATAGCATTTCCCGGATATTAAAAATATGTAAGGATTAACGCAATTGAAAGAAAAATTAGTAAAATTATTAAAAATAATATTAATATTATTTCATTTAAAATTAAATTATTAAACTTTAATATTTGCCTCATAACACATCATATAATGAATGCTAAAACATTATTTTTACGCAAGCAGTTAGTACTATCATGTGCTATATTATTATTGACATCACTGTCCAAATACGTGTGCAATAGAGACGCACCGGTAACGGGTCGGTGCTCTCGGCCCGGTCTGCCCCCTAAGGCAGAGCTTCATCTAAGGCCACAAGGAATGGGTCGCTTCAATAACAAGGAGAAAGTGATGGTTAAATGCAAAAGCGATGAGTTTCCGCAGCATAAACAAGAACTTGAATGCGTAAATGGCCGGTGGGTGGGCGAGTCAGCACGTTGTGGTCAGTATGCAAAAATAGATATAGACAATTAAACGTGTTAAAACTGTAAAAATGTTTCCAGTAGTATAAATATAAAATGTACTAGTTAGGTATTATGATTATATTTTTATATTATGACAGTCTTTATTATACAGATAATATAGTAAAATGCAAAATGTCTTTACAGTACAAAATGTAAAACTATATTAAAATAATTGTGGCATTGCTACATGCTAGCAACAATTTTGTTTTACTTTATTTACATTAACAATAATTAAAAATAAATGTAAATAGCACAGCAATTAAATTGGTCATGTATATTCTGGATTTTATATTATTATAAGTATGTATTTTATTTATAAGTATGAGTATTAATTAGCAATTATTTTAATTGAATCCATAAACTATACACAATGGTAATATGCTTTATAAATAACCTAGGCGAGCACATAGACGCACAGGTGGTGCATCTGGATGTTTACGACTGTCAATCGCCTGGCAATCGGATATTACTGTTGCAGCCAATAAACGCCTCGTGGGACACACCACCCGACATACCCCTACGGGCCAACTCATTTCACATTCAACGGCTGCCCAACGAAATCCCGGCGTCGGTCAATGGGAGCACATGTTATAAATGGGACATCAGGTTAGACCGTAAAGTGGCCGTTGGTTTCCTACTGATAGACATGTGGTACCCGGCGCTAAACGAATCGGTCCCTATCCCACCCACAATTACGCCCGTAGTGAGCCGGTACAGGTCGTGTAACCTGCAAAATAAGCAAGTTCACTTTATGAAAAGCGATGTAGTGGTAGGTTATTATTATTACTGTGATCTGCACTCGGAGGCCGACGCCCGGGCCGAACAGCCCGACCTGTCGGACACTATTACCCTACGCGTGAACACCTCTACTAAACACGAGATAGGTCTGGAGGCGGTGTTTTTGGGTGGGGTGTTTACTAAAAGTGTAGGTGGTGGTGGTAAAGTAGTGCGACCAGATTGCGGTCAGTTTACTGTGAAAAATATAGGTGTCGATATTCAGGCAGAGGCCGGCCATTCGTATGTCAGTTGCAATGATTCGTATGTAGATATTAGCGCCGATAGACTAGCCAGTGGTAAATTTAGCCGAATTAGTGGTAACCCAAAGTAAGTATGATATAAAGTATAATAGATCTTTTTTAATAAACATGATGCTTAAAATGTTATTAATAGTATCTTATAGAATTTGTATATTAATTACTAAATAGGCATATATTTAAATGTAACGTTAATGGTCAGTGGGAGGGCAGTTGGCCACTCTGTTTGCCCAAACTCTATTGTAATAAAGAAGAAATATACGATTTGATGGATAGTTCAGTGATCATCGAAGAGATTGGAAACGTGTATTACATGAATGATACGCAATGGTACGCAATAAATGACAGTTGGGTACGCTACGCGTGCTACGGTTCAGACCATGTTATGGCGGGTAAACATATGCGGATGTGTTTAAAAAATGGCACATGGTCCGGTAAAGGCCCATATTGTGTTAGAACTAGTATGTTTAAGTTTAAAGTTACATATTTTTAAAGTTACATGTATTTATTGTTAGCATTAATTTCATTAAGACATATAACGTTTTATCTATAACGAAATATAACGTTTTAATACTTCAAACTACAGGTGCGTCCGGTGTGGCCATATCAGGCATAGTATTGGGTGCGTTGGCATTGTTGATGGCGACCACGAATCTGGTCAGGAAATGCCGGTATCGCTCATTTAGGCCGAGTGGACAGAATGGGAATGAAATGTTTATAAATTATGTGCCGTTGCCGACAATTACCAAGGTGGTTAGTCCTGGTATATGATTGTCAGTCCCATCGTTACCTTACATAGAGTGAGCTATAGCAGGATTATTTGGAAATGTAAAATTATATCCAATAAAGTAGTCTTTGTAGTTTGTCGTAATGTTTTATAATACTTTAGTTGTTTATTTTAAAGTTTGTATGTATTGTTAATTAAATGTAAAATTCTAAATTATTTACATAAAAATTATGATTAAAATGAATTAATATTATATTAGAATTAAAGTGTAAATAAAATCATTTATTTAATTATTAAAAGATATTTTTATATAAATACTACATATCATGGATAATATATTGTAGAAAAAATGCTACATGTATAAATTACAAATAAGATAAATGATTTATTATGTTCAAATAGAAATATTACGTGACTTGTATCAGGCAATATATTGCAATATCGGAATTGAAATTATTTTTGTATTTTTAACCACAATTCAGTATGAATAATGTGGTTTATAGGATAGTGATGCCGTTTCATTATAGCGAAATCGTAAAGTCTGTTATCATTCACTTTTAATAGTTTGTATGAAATATTCAAATAAATATTGCTTTAATAGGTCTGAAATAAAACGAACCGACAGACGCTGTTGTATTGCGCCGAAACTGTTTTTCAATTTTCGTGTGAAGGAACAGACAGCTCATAGCGGCGCTGTGTCTACGCACCTGCGTATGTCTAAAGGTTTGAAGTCTGTTACCGCCGGTCAAGCGCTTAATAAGGATTTTATGGAGGATATGGAAAGGAAGGATAACGCGTATAGTGTATTAAAGGATGACCGCTCGTCTCCCGCTTACTGGCAGGCGCAAGTAAATTTAGCGGTAAATTTATTATTATTATATTTATTATACAATTGTTTATACAAAGGTCTCGCTATGCATTACCGGAATCTGCGATTGATTGACAACAAATCAGACCTCAAATATCAACCACTCGACTGTTTTGATTTAGAGGAATTGGCCGATTTGATGTCAATCAACATCATAAATGTTTTGCCGGACGGTGTCAAACTCAAACCCGAACTCGAACCGCCGTCAAACGCCATTTGTAGTGTTGGACATTACCCGCAAAAGTTACCCACTTTCCACGTGATGTGGGACACGGGAGCTAAGGGGTACTTTCATTGTTTCCCTGCTATTCATATTAATTGTCATTGTAATTAAATATTTTAATTTTGTTTTTGATTTTTATACTGAAATTGATTTTAAAATTTTAATTTACTTCTTAATTTAATCTACTTAATTTTATAATTTTATATTTGTTTGAATGAATAAAATGATTGAACACGATACATTAAATTCTACTAGGTAATTATACTGAAATTACAAATTAACTAGATACGTTATGATTAGATAAATTATTTTAATTGACCAAGCCCATTAAATGTCCTAGCTACCTTATGACAACTGAAGCATATAGCTGTTTATAAAATTGTTTGCAATTCTTGTATTCATTGTATCTCTTAGCAAGTATAAATCAAGCAAGTTTTGTACATTAAATTCAGCAAGGTAAAATTATATGAGTAAGCTAGTTAAAATTAACTTATATTAATTGACCAAGCTCGAATGACTGTTTAGTTGTTTATGAAAATGATTGCAATTCTTATATTCATTGTGTTTCATGGACAATGGGACTAATGCTAAGTCTATGCGCAATGTTAAGTCTATGGGGAGTGCTAATCCTATGGACTAGTATTAAATGTATAGAAAATGATAATCAATTCTTTGAGCACTACCCGAATTGTGGTTAACGTATAGCATCGCTGTGTGATTCTTGTTTTTGTAGAGAGAGAGAGAGAGAGAGAGAGAGTTTGACACCGTCC